AAAAACTAAAAGCCCATGGATGAAAAATACACCATGTAATCACACAGGAACAGTAACCAAAAAAAGAGAAAAGGGAAAAAAAGAAGAAAAAACAAGCAAATCTGCAATATCTGGGAATAGGCCACTAAGAAGAAAAAAAAAAAGTAGGGAAGGACAATAATAAACGAAGAAAAAAATAGGAAGAATGCAAAGAGAAAAATAAGGAATGGGGTTAGTTCAGGCACGTGCTCCGGATACAGTTCTTCAGTCAGGACAGTCTCCTCTCTGCTATGCCCAAATACACTTCTCTGGCCCTTGGCCTCTTGACCTGGCCTCTGCCTCTGTGGCCCAGGTAAGCCTGCTACTCTTGTCTCATGCCTCTTGGTTCCATTGCCACCACCTCTCAGCTGGGTGTCTCTCTCTCTCAGTCATGCATCTCTGTCTCTCAGCCATCTCTCTCAGCAGTGTGTCTCTCTCAGCCATCAGTGAGAGAGCCAGCAGTGAGAGATTCCCTTCTGCCTCTAGGAGGGCTCATTTTAAGCCTGGCAGAGTGGCAAAACTAATCAGTCCCAACATGAGAGTTCTACACACCTGAGAGAGAGCAAACTTTCCCATAAGATTACTTTGTGCTGCCTTAGGTAGATGACTTTAATAAGCAGCTACTCAGTGCTAATGGCAAAGTGGGAGTTACAAAGGTTAGAAGAGCCATTACCATGTAATTCACTATACCACAATATGTCTCTGCCAGCACTTTTATACTGAAGGATCCTTGTGTCTTACGTTAGACCAAGAGCACCCTGAGGGTAAGAGTAGGCTTTGCAGCCAGATAGCCTAGGGTAGCATTCTGGTTGGTCACTTCCTACCTTTGTACAAGTACAAGGTACTTGGGCATATATCTTAGGCTAGGTTGTCTAGAGGAAAAAAAACAATGAAGCTGAGAGAGGAAGAGAAAAATTTATCTCAAGGAAATAGCTCCCACAGTTGCAGAGGCTGACAAGTCCCAAGTCTGTGGGTCAGATGTCAGGCTGGAGGCTTCTCCTTACTCACATAGCTGCAGGGGCTGACAGACCCATGATCGACAGGAAATACAGCAAGCTGCTGACTACAAAGGCTGATGAATCCAAGATCAGCAGGCTCTTGGCTCGTAGACCTTGAGAGCCACAATCCCAAAATCAGGAGACTGTGTGGCAGACCACTAGTTTGAGTCAGATGATAATGAGCCAGATGCAGGATCCTGAACAAGCAAAAAGCCAGAGAGCCTTGCCAGGGTGTCCATATATGTTGGAAGCAGGCCACACTGCTGAGTAAACTTCCTTTCACCTGATTGGCTGCTCATAGCACATCTCATTGTGAAGGTGATTACATTATATTATATCTTATTATAGGAGATGACTACATCATAACCACTAAACTACTGAGAATCATGGCCCAGCTAAATTGACACACAACTGTAACTGTCACAGCAAGCTACTTAACCTTTCTGTGCTTCAGCTTCTTGTAAAATGAAATAATGGGTACCTGTCTCTGAGGTGTTCCAAGAGTTAAATAAGATAATCCATGAAAAGTTATGAACACAGAATGTAGCATTTAATAATTTAATTAGTTACTATATTTTTATTATGTCTTGCCAGCACCTAGCATAACAATGGTATAGTTTAAATGTTTACTTAGTATTGAATGAAGATTGAGTTACTTTTAATTAATAATTATTTTAAATGCAAATATATAAATATTTATAATTAAAGTACAGACAGACCCATGCGCAGTATGGACAAGATTTATTTTCAGTTTGCCAGGAATGTGTATATACAAGAAAATGAGGCAGTAAGTTGCAGCATGTGCAAATTTTACTTCCAAATTCAAACATGGGTTCTTGAAAGAGAGATAAATCCTCCCCCTACCAACCAGACCTAATTCTCTGGGTACCAGGGAGAGGAGGCCATGGTAGAAATGCAAAGGAAAATGGTGGGAGGGGAGTAATTGATGAATGATATAAGGTATTTTCAGGAATATTTTTGATTGCCAGTTGTAACTTACTGTAAATTATATGTGATTCAGTGTTTAATAGTCTTCACATGGGCATCCTTCCCTTGGCCAATTGGGAGAGGATCTTCCTGTGGAATTTTTTGTCAAGGGGGTGAGCCACTTGAGCCAAGGTAAAGAAAAAAGAAACAAATCAACCATAACAAAGCCCACAGGGCTGCACAGAGCTGTGAACAAAGGCCATAGCCTAGACGAGATGGCAGGACTCACCTGACCTGGCCTGGTGTTCATCAAAGCTATCAGGGTGTCAGGATGGCAGTCTAAACTAAGTCATTAGCACAATGGAACAGTGTTGCTATGTGGGGAGGATGGAGTGGTGGGAGGGTCAGGTCTCCAGCCAAACATGCCTGCCTTCCACAGTCATGTTGCCCTCATTCCTCTGCAAAGGCTCCTTCCAGGCTGAGTGTCATGGCCTTATTGGGTGTCACATGAGCGAATTGGTCTTCTAGGTACTCCCAATCCTGGGCTATCTCTCCCTAGGACAACTGGAGAATGATGCAGGTACCATTCTTAGTCTTATGTCTATTCATGCAGAAAATATGTCAGACACATGCAAATTTTATGGCATGCTGGAGGGCAAGGGGAAGCCAAGCCTGGCAGAGAAATCCCTGGTAATTTTGCTTCCTGCCTTGGGCTCCTTTCCCAATTCCTATATGGAAAAAGAAAAGACACCTGCCTCACCCTCTGGGAATGTCACTGTGCTGCCTTGTCCTAGTCTTTTCATACCCACTGGGCCTTTCAGGGCCCCTCTCTCAGGCAGACAGGGACCCCCACTAGGTGGGACAGGCACAAGTGGAAAGGGCCACTCAGGAGAGGCTGAAGGGGTCAGATGCGTTTCCTGGAGGAAGCAGGGGCAGGCTGGGATGCAAGCTGGAATGGGGAAGAGAAGGCCTGAGTGGGTGCCCCTGGCTTTAGAGAAATGGACAAGAACTGCCTGCCCGCCCAACTGGAAACTAGCGCCAGGGGCCGGGAGTCCTGCAGGAAGCTCCAGCTGGCATAATGAACATTATCTCTCCCAAGTCCTCGGGAGAGAGCCAGAATTACATAAACCAAGTCTAACTATGTCTGAGTAAGCACAGATAGTCTTTCAACTTGAAGGAAAATCTATGTAAGTAAGCAACTTACAGGTACATAAACCATTTCTTGGATGATACATAGGATCTAACGACAGTTGTCACTCTTGGGGCTAGAAGACAATGGAGGCTTCAGTTTCCTAGTGATTTTCTGTGATTTGGGTTGAATTTTATTTTTTGGTTCTTTACCAAGATCATTTATTACTTTTGTGATATATGTAAAGTTTAAGAAGAAAAAGAGTAAGCAGCTTGAAGATTCTAGGCACTTGAATATAGTAAATTAGATCACCCATTTTAATCTCTCTTTTTTGGATTTATGTTTAAAGCCTGGTGATTGAATGACTTTTCTTTTCTTTACTTCACTAAACCTCTCTCAGGTTCTTCCCGCAAAGAGATCACCAAGCACTGGGAATGGCTGGAAAATAACTTACTCCAAACACTGTCCATCTTTGACAATGAAGAAGATATCACCACCTTTGTCAAGGGCAAGATACACGTAAGATTGCCATTCAGCTATCTGTAATCACTGCCTTTCTCTGGCAGTGTTCACATATGTCAACTTACTTAATCTTTAAAACAGCCGTGTGAAGGTTTTGTCTTCATTTTAGGGAGGAGGAAACTGAGATTGTGAGTTCCCATTCCCTGGAGATGTTCAGCAGAGGCTGGGAGAGCCCCTTAGAAGTGAAGTAGACAGTTGAACTCTGTCCATGAAGGGCCCCTTCTTATCTCAACCAGCCACTGTGGTCTGGTTAAAACTTAGCCTAAAGTTTCTGTTCTTTCCAAAATGTCTTAGAACAAATACTGCAGATATGAAACTCTGTTTTTTGATTCTTTGACTCATAAAGCAAGAAACTGGAAAGGATAAGATATTTTGCGGTGTATTTGTATTATAAAACTAACCTTAATTTTAAATGCCAATACCCTTTGAATCAGCATATACAATCCTTGGAATGTACCCTAGAGTAGATTCATGTGTGCAAAATGGTTGTATGTATCAGGGTGTTCCCCTACAGCACTATATTAGCAAGAAGATGACACACTGCCTCCTATTGTATTAGAGGGGAAAGTAGCTGTTCTCTTCTATGAAAAATGAAAGTGCTAATACTTGCTAACTTTTTTTTTTTTAATTTTTGTTGTGATTTGGGTGAAAGTTTCCAGAGCAAATTCATTTTCCATACAGCAGTTCAAATACACTTTGTCTCGTGACATTGACTGTAATTTCCCACAGTGCAACAGCTCCACTCCCACTTCCTCCCCACAGTTACCTCTTCCCTGCGTCCTTCCCTCCCATGCACTCCTGCCCGCCCCCCCGAGCTGTCTCCCTGTGCATACACAGCCCATCTATTCTCCCATGATTGATCTCTCCAAGGAATGTATCTACCGAATGTAAATGTTCAGCTCATATGCCTGTCTTTTGCTTGCTAACATTTCTTGAGTACTTCCTCTTTACTTAAGGAGCTCTGGTGGAGTAGAGGTTAAAGCATTAGTTCCTAACCAAAAGGTCAGTGGGTCAAATGTACTAGCTGCTCCATGAGAGAAAGATGAGACAGTCTGCTTTTGGAAAAATATACAGACTTGGAAACCCTACAGGGCATTTCTTCTCTGTCCTGAAGGGTCACTGTGAGTCGGAATCAGCTCAATGGCAGTGGGGTTTTTCTTTTTTCTTTCTGGTTTCTATATACTTGGAGTCTCTGGGTGGTACAAACAGTCAACATGCTTGGAGGTTCAAGTCCACCCAGAGGTGCCTTGGAAGGAAGATCTGATGATCTGAAAAATTGGCCCTTAAAAGCCCTGTGGAGCACAGTTCTGCTCTGACATACATGAAATCACCATAAGTTGGAATCAGCTTGACAGCAAATGGCATGGGTTTTTGGATTCTATATGCATACTATGCTAAGCACTTAATATCCAGGGCACTGGCTAAGTCACAGATAATATGTTTAATGGCGTAGTTTGCAACCATCAAAATAATGATAATGACCATTGTGGTATGAAAACTTCCTCACTGGATACTTAGGTTGTTTCCTCTCTTAAGGATAATCAACACTGTAGTTAACATTTATCTGAGTATGTGTGTGTGTCTTTTTCTTTCTACAGATTATTGCCTTAGATTAGATTCCTGGAAGGGTCACAGTTTCATGGTACACAGCTGCTTTGGGCAGGCCCTTGTGAATTTGTTATATAAGCACTTTGTAGATGGGGCAGAAATCATGAAAAGTCTCATCTCTTCTCTGTGTAAGTGAGGGCCAGGTAGGACCCTGTGTTGCCTGAAGCTTTATGAAAATAGGCAGAGATAGCAGAGGTCAGCCTCTACTCTTTCTGGAGAGCAAGTTGAGCAATAATAATTGTACCATAAAAATAATAGAATAATAGTGATACTACTGACTGTCTCCTGTATGCCAGGGCCAGACACACTAATCAACAAAACAAAACAGTTCTAAACTGTTCAGAGATCACAGAAGAAATAGAAATTAGAAAATCTTTAAAACTGCATGATAATTGAAATACAGCTACCTGTCAGAATTTGTGGGATGCAGCAGAACCAGTACATAAAGGAGAATTTAAAGCCTTAAATCTTATAAAAGAAGAAAAGGTGAAAAATAGTGACCCAAATGTCCACTTCAATAAGTTAGAAAAAGAGCTACAGAGAAAACAGGACATTAGAAACAAGGAAGTAATAAAAGGCAGAAATTGATTCCAGAGGACAAGGGAACTATATAAAGGATTAGCAAACCCAAAAAGACAAACAATATCAACAAACCTGTGGCAAGAGTGATCAAGGGAAATAGAGACCTGAAATAAGGAATGCTGTATGTGAAATATAGAAAACATCTATTAAGTCAAAAGAGAACCTACAGATTGGGAAAAAATATTTGGTAATAACATATCTGACAAGGGACTTATCTCTAGAATTTACAGAAAGCTCCAACACCTCAGTAGCAAAAAAGACAAACAATCCAATTAAAAAATGGGCAGAAGACATGAATAGACACTTCACCAAGGAGGATATTCAGGCGGTCAACAAACATGAAGAAATAAATGCTCACGATCATTAGCTATTAGAGAGATGCAAATCAAAACAACAATGAGATACCATCTTGCTCCAGC